GATTTGCTCCCAAAATCAAAATTTAGAGAATTTAGATTTTGAGGACGGTGTGATTATATTTCAAATTCGTTCAGAAATAGTTGATTTCATAAAAATCCGCCAGTCAGGGACGAGAACTCGAGGTAGCCCAGGCATGTGTCGTGCATGAAGAACAGGCTGCGGGAGAGAGAACATTCCGAGAAGACACGATTCTAGGAATGGTCAGTATTAGCCTTCACAGCTTACGTTTTAGCGTTATATGACATCTTCTTATTATTTTCTAGTATTTTTGAAATAGTACTCACCAAGAAGAGCAATCTGCGGGACCCAAGTCCGCAAATAGACATTTTTCAGATAAGCAGCTATTTGCGAGCCTTCCTCTTCATATTTCCAGATAAACGTTGTTTCAGGCATACTTTCGAAAACGGCCAGAAGAGTTTTTCTTAACAGAGAACTTCTTAACTTCTGAGTGATAAATTTACAAATAGACGTATATTATTGATTCTGAATAAAATCTGGAGATAGCCGCAGTAGCCGCACATTAATATTGAAACTCGTTCGTAAAGTCGAGAGCACGGTGAGCCGATGTCGAGTTTGTTTCGGATTGGGTGGAATGGGCAGCGGAATACAGAAAACGTGGAAGGGGTTCAGTCGAGATGTGAAAAAAAGTTTTCGCTGTAACTAGGATATGTAATGGGAATCAAAAGTTGTGGAAAATTTCAAGATTCATCAAACTTTTGCCGCAGAATACGAAATGATTCGGGGGTAGGGCTTCGAGCTGTGTAAGGTCGCTAAGTGGATGTCGAAATTCCTCAGCACATGAAGCTTGCTCAAGTGTTAGATATTATAATAGACTCACTAGCGCTTACTTGTATTCATCAGGCATGAAGACAGATTTCGCCACTGAACCAAACGAGACCAGTACGGTGGTGTTTCGTTTCATTCAGTATATCATCCCATTCCTATAAGTGAGGGAAAAATCCTTCAGAAAAAGAACAAAGAGTAGAAGTTTCTGCACCTTTGTTAGAACTTTTTTCTTGGAATCAATTTTGACAGCAACTCCGCCGATCGGAACAGTTTTGTGTAGCATTGGACGAGGATAATCGAGGTATGGATTTGCATGAATCGTAAAAACAAATGAGGAATCCACAAAGATTTCCTGAGAAAGAAACCATCTATTTAAATCGCGTCTATGGCGCATGAAAGCGTCGCACGAGCTCGCTTACCGAATTGTGCAATCTCCACTTACAAGATCAGGATCACAGTGTCGATGAGCTTCCCTCACGCTCTACCTCACAAAGCGAAGTCCAGTAGTGGACCGCCGGCGGTTCCTGGCTCGCCGAACCGTCGAACCCTACTGTCCTGGAAAGTCTCTCGCACCACGGAGAAGCAGAGTACGCGGCCGCGCTCACTGTTCAAAACAGTCTACACGCTGTCGAATGATCACCAATGTTCATCGTCGTCACCCGCGCAGTCCTTTCATCGCTGCACGTCAGCGAACACCGCGGATGCACTACCGGGTATGGAAGCTCGAGATCGACAGCGGGACTGCTGCCGCGTCGCCCCCGTAAAGAAAACGTATGGGTTCGACCCCGTGAGTAGTAGGTTGTATTCCGTATTGGTCTTAGTGCTCTTGTATTTATTCATTTCGTAGTGTATTCTCGTAATTTCATTATATGTATCTATGTTGTTTTTATTTCTTGTTCTGTGTAGCGTCTGAGATATCTATATCTATCTAAAGTTTGCACCGCAGGCGTATTTGTATTGCACGCTCTAGAAGTGGAACTAACTAACGATGCCCACAGACCGGACCAGGGAAAAACCATCGTGGGCCATAGGGCCAAAAAGGACGAAACGAATGCAAACTGTCACCCCGACCCTAGCGCCGTTCCTTTGCCAGGAGGACCACGATGCCTATGATTTTGTTAGTAGGCCATAAGTACGATGGAACAATAACACATACCCGCGAAATGTGATTCTGGTTTACTTAAAAAAAACAGGCTAAGTGTCCTCCTTATACACTTTGGTATTTGGGAAATCAAGAGCTATCAACCGTTTGCAAAAGATTTCGTGGAAGGATCGCTGATCGTCAATGGTTTCTAACATGGAACTAGTTTGCACATTTTCTAGTGGCTCTTCGTGAATCATGAATGAAAATGAAAGGAAAGTTTGCAAATCGTATTAACTGCTGGACTGCTCACCTGTAATGATGAAGACTGCAAAAAACCTCTACAAACCTGTGAACTCACACAGCGCGCTGATCTCGTGTATGGGACTTGTGCCCCGCCCCCACAACAACCTCACTGGTCACCCGATTGTACGGTAGGTGAAAATATGGTAAAACAAAATAGTAATAGGGTCAACCGTCCGTTGGACAAAGTCCAACGAGGGGCCGTATTCGGCCGACCGAAAAGGGGGTCGTATTTGCAAGGGTCAACGTCGCAATACGTAGGAGAGAGGCATAACTCCCGAGCGCTTCTTCAACTACTAACCACAAACGAGTGCACTCACCTCATAACCTTTGAATTGTGATCCAAACTTCTTCCGAAAAATATTAATTTCCTTAGTGAACACATCATGGAAAAGTCTTTCTCCCATCAACACGTCAATGACGTTCTTAAGTCGATCGATCATATTCATATGATCGCCTTTGGTTGACAGTGCTCCTTAATCAATGATTACACTTCACACAATCAGGTGTTCCTCTGAGAGCTTAGGCAGAGACAATGGGTAAAGCTACATATTCGCTCTGGCAGTTGTCACAAAACAGATTTCTCAACTATTATACTGCGAACATAATAGAAGCTCGGGATTACTGGCTCTCCAATACTTTTTGACAGGATATCGGCATGCACGGTAGAAAATGTGGTGATCGTAGCCGGATATTTAGGGCTTCAAATATTCCTAAAATTTAAACGAATTTTCTTATTCTACTTTGAATTTCGTAAAAATATACTGAAAGCGAATTAGATCAGCACGCACCTAGACCACAGATTCCAAGAGCTTCGGAAATGCCAACATCAAATTTCTCCTTAGCCAACCGCTGAAGCAGTTCATCATCAGAAACTAGTCCTAAATATTTTATTTTACTATAATTCTTACTACTCCTCAAATCCTACCACTAGCCTCGAAGCGGCGAGGGGGCGAAACGGGAGAAACCCCGGCTAATAGTGGAGGTAACACCGCCTCAATGGGCTAGCTACCCGAGGGTCGGTATAGGGAGCTACAACACGCACAAAGAGGGTCCGGAGCGGCGCAGAAGAGTGGAACTATAGGCTCTAAGCTCTAAGTGCATAGGAGCAAACGGCGACCTGATAACCTGCAGTCAAAAACCGCCGCAGGATTTGGAGTGCACAGGAAGAGAAGCCTACGAGACATGGAGACTGTATACGAATTTGCACCTACAACTGCCGTACCATAGCCTTGAGGGCTGACCAAGCCATCTTAATGGAGGCTAGCAGGAACAACACTGAGCCCAAATCGCTCAAGATCGTAAATGATGGAGGGAAGCCTGTGCTCGCCGCTGAAGATTTTATAGATCGACAACGAGCCTAAGTAACCAAGTAAGTAGTATAATTGTTACTCCGCAGACCTTTTTTCCTGAGGGCTTCCCTCATTGAAAAATCTCAGCCCGCTACGTGGCGCGACCTCAAGTTTCGGGGGGGGGGGTGAATCGCGGACCAAAAGCCACCTCGTTCTTGTTCTGAGGCGCACATCGGATTCAGGGGAAATGCCCTGTATTCTGCAGTGCTGTGTTGATTCATACCAGCAGCCTCCACTCAAGTGTACCCATGCATGCACGCGTGCGTGCGTGCGTGCGTGCGTGCGTGCGTGCGTGCGTGCGTGCGTGCGTGCGTGCGTGCGTGCGTGCGTGCGTGCGTGCGTGCGTGCGTGCGTGCGTGCGTGCGTGCGTGCGTGCGTGCGTGCGTGCGTGCGTGTGTGCGTGCGTGCGTGCGTG